AAAAAAAAAAAAAAAATAGCTGGGCATTGTGGTAGGTGCCTGTAGTCCCAGCTACTTTAGGGGCTGAGGCAAGAGACTCCCTTAAGCCCAAGAGTTTGAGGTTGCTGTGAGCTGTGATGCCAAAGCACTCTACAGAGGGTGACATAGTGAGACTGTCCCCCCAAAAAAGAATGGTTCTGTTTCAGGGTAATCTCACAGGGCTGCAATCAAGATATTGGCAGGTTGGGATCTCATCTGAAGGCTGGAATAGAGAAAGATCTGCTTCCAAACTCATGTGGTAGTTTGCAGAATTTGGTTCCTTCAGGCTGCTGAACTGATAGCCTCAGTTCTTGCTTCCTATTGGTTAAGGACAGCCGTGGTTCTTCACCACATGGGCCTCTCTTATATGGCAGCTTGCTTCATCAAAGTGTACAAACAGAGAAGGCAGAGAGAGAGTCTGCTAGCAAGACATTAACTCATAATCCCTTGTAACCTACCACCTTGTTGTAGTCCGCTGGTTAAAAACAACTCAGTAGCTCAGTCTACTGGCCCTCAAGGGGAGAGGATTATATAAAGGAATGTATTTCTGAAGGAGCAAATCATGAAGGCAAAGACTTTCTAGAAGTCTGTCTTCCACAATCTGCATGAAGAGCCTCTAGGAAGCTAGAGGAAGAGACGTCATTAAGAGATGGACAACTGGACACTGATTAGGTGTTCTGAGAGAGGAGCTTTGCTCCCAAGAATAAAGAGAACCAGACAATTGCCTTAAACTGAAATGCAGACTGTCCTATGTTCATATGGAATAAATGCCATACTCAGTCTTGTGATGTATCCTGGCAGGATCCTGTACATTATGGGAAAGTATCCTGTTCTGTGAACTGTGACTTAGTTTGGGAGTAAAGAAAACGTAGAGAAGCAACTTCTAGTCCTTGCTTGAGTAGCAAAGTTGAGATTCTAATTTTGTATAGAGAAATGTATGTTCTGTGTAGGTAACTTATCTGGGGAGCAAAAGTTCTATCTCAGATAGAAAGAAACTGTATTGTGTTGACAACATTCCTGGCAGGTAATTTACCTCTTTAGCTTAACAAGGACCAAGAGAAAAGTTGTGTTGAGCCAGGGTGCATTGCTCCTGCACTGAGAGGTTATTCTCTTTTGATCATGTTCTAAGTCCTCTGAAAATCAAATCAAGCACTTGCAGTGGGAATGTGAGCATTCTCTTCCTGCCAGTCTGGAGATGATCAAAAAGTTTATGGCACGCTTGGCCTATTTTCCTATTGGGTTGTTGGCCTTTTTTCACTTTATTTACTTCTAAAGACTCACAGACTGTGGTATGTGTATTGTGTACATTATGGGAAAGTATCCAGCTCTGTGAACTGTGAACTGGTTTGGGAGTAAAGAAGACATAGAGAAGCAACTTCTAGCTCTTGAGCAGCAAAGCAGAGATTCTAATTTTGCCTAGAGAAGTATGTGTACTATGTGGCTAACTTATCTGGGGAGAAAAAGTTCTATCTCAGATAGAAAAGAGACACCCAAATGTGAACTGTGCTGAGATTTAACAGGCAGGGCACAGGGTGAGTGAACATTTGTGATGCAAGCAGAGGAACAAGCAATACTTCTCAGCAGTGTCTCCTTGATGTTACTTGTCTGGGGACCACTGCTGCATTCCACCTTACACAAAGAACTGACAGGCTGCCCTGAGCAGCTCATGACACCTGTTTGAAATTGAAGTTGGGCTAATAATACGTGTTTATTATAAGGAGTTTGATGTTGCTGATCAGAGTTGGGTAACCTATTTTATTCCCTAAACTAATATTTCACAAATACGCCCAACCCCCCAGCAAGAAAACATTTTACATCAGGATCTCATACAGTGTGACTAGATACCCACACTGATGCCTTATACCCAGAGTTTCAAGAAACAATTCTTACTCTCCCTAGATTCGACATATTCTGATGTTTGACTTTTCCTTTTCATTTAAAAAAATATTTTGGATGTGATCCACTAAATTAATTTCACTATTCACTAATGGGTAGGAACCTGAATAAAAATTACTGTTATGAACTTTATGCAAAATCAGAAACGTAAACACTGCTTCCAAGGACATAGGAGGCAAGAGGTACTTGTTGTTTGCTCTGATGGCCCTGTCCCCTCCAGTGCTAGAAAGAGTGGCTCTCAGGTTCTCTCTTCTGGCAACATCTGTGCAACATTGGTTATTCTCTTCAGGGCCCTGGTAATGCAATGTCCCTGGTGTTAAGGTCTTGAGCTCCTATCTGTAAGATGGCAACAAGTTTCTTCTGCATGTTTTTCCTTCTTGTACCTCATACCTTCTTCCTCGGAAATTTTCCTTTTGCCTTAAGTACATTGTGAGAATTTCCAATGGAGGCAAATTCTTAGTTTCTGTTTGTTCACTCTCAGTCTGTCCTCTGCATATTCTGGGTTTCTCATGAACTTGTCAGAAAGATCTTGAAAAATATTTATATAAGACTGACAGTTACTTTTTTCAGCATGGTGCAGATAATCTTATACCAGTGATGTTAAGAATTCGATTGTCAATCTGTTACTCTTTCAAAGGTGAAGCTATGTGTCTTCTTCTCCTGGCTCCTTTTGAAATTTGTCTTGTTTTTTGGGGGAAAGTTTCACTTTATGTGAAAAGAGGTAGATTTCTTTGTTTTTGCTTTTATCCTGCTTGAGATTTTGGTTTTCTTAATCTGGGGATGGATATACTTCATTGTTTTATAAGATTTTCAGCCATTCTTTTCATGTATTATCTCTGCCCCATTCTTTCCCCTCTTTATACCTTCAATTAGTAAATATATGTTTGATGCCTTCATTCTATCCTCTGTATCTTTTGCTCACTTTTCTATTTCTTTCATCTTTTGTTTTTCCATGCTCAATTCTGCATAATTACTTCTGACCTATCTTCTAGTTTATATTCTCTCTTAAGCCGTATCTAAATCTGCCTCTAACCATCGTAATTTTCAGTTTTTATAAATTCTCTTTTATTTACTCACATGGGTAAGTGGCAAGATGTAAATAACTTTAAAAATCAAACTTATTTAAGTAAGTGTAGTTTTCCTGTATGTTTACAGGATGTATAAAAACCATGTATCAGAGTTCTGAGTTTCTTATGAACTTCTATATAATATATGTATATCCTTTATGAAATTATTTAAAAATTTCTCTGTTATTGATATACTTTAGGTTAGTATTTTAGACCTTTCAATCAATGGATCCTCAGCTTATAGGAGCCCCCTGGGTGTTAGCAACATCTACATTAAACATGCTAGGGTTTTAAAAGAGACATGATACACATTTAGAAATCATATCACTATTCTCTGTGCAAAGCTACACTTTAAAAAAATATGCATTTTATTAAAGTTCTGGTTAATTTTACAATGATAAAAAGGGTCTAGTCTTGATACAATTAAAATAGTATATAAAGCAAATTAATAATATAGAATAATTTATTACTAAAAATGTATATATTATTTTGAATCTTGTAACAAAAATGCTATTGTGGTTATGGGAATGTACCCATAGTTTGCAAAATTGAGATTATCATTAGTATTGAAAACGTTTTTCTTTCATCATTACAAAGATGTACTGTAAGAAAACAGATTCAAAGAAACTATCAATACTATTATACTTAGGAAATATTTCTGCAAAGAAATTAAGCCTGAATCTTATCAGTCCTCTAGATCAGGAGTGCTCCAGGTATGGGCCCCTAGACCAGGAGTATCAGTATCTAATTGCAAAAAATACAAAATCCGTGCTCGCTTCGGCAGCACATATACTAAAATTGGAACGATACAGAGATGATTAGCATGGCCCCTGTGCAAGGATGACATGCAAATTCGTGAAGCATTTCATATTTCTCAGCAAACCACACACACACACAAAAAGAATACAAAATCTTGGGTCAGAAACTGGGAGTTTTGATGGAGTTTTAATGACCAACTGATTCTGATACCTGCTCAATTTTGAGGATGACTTTAAATCTATCCGTTTAGTTAGGAGTTATAGGGGAAGGAGAAACATGTTAAAGAGCAGCAAGAAGATGAGGTCAGTCATCCAGACATTCTGCGTCTACTGATGTCTTAGAAAGCACACAATACCACCTACAAGATATTTTCCTGCCCATCTGGCCAGGTCATATCTGGATCTAATAAAAGATCTAACTTCCTATTTATAAGCACTTGGAACAAGTTCATTGCTACCTTTAAGTACCAAACCAAGAATATAGGACTGCTATAGGACAAATGACCAATTTCTTCAATTAATAAATGATGTATTTAAAAAAGGAACACGGAATTGTTACAGCTAAAAAACAAAACAAACAAAAACCCAACCCAACCCAACAAAACTAAGTTTAAGCAACATTAACCAAATGAAATATACTGTTTGGGCTATTGTAAAGAGGCATTTGTGATAATCTAGGCACAAAAACCATGAAATAGGCATAGATGACAGAGAAATCCAATAAACGCTGATAATCACTTAGAAAATGAAATGATATATGGGATTTGCTTTAAAATCTCTAGCTCCCTGACAAAAGATTGCTCGTGAGGTGAAAACTAGTAGAGATGATAGCTGTTAGCTACAAGGGATGCTGCAGTACTTTCCCTGTATGCTTAAAAATGTCTACAATAAAAATGTTTAAAACTAAAACAAAAATGAAACCATGATTCTTAAGATATAATCCAAAATTAGGGAACTAAGCAGCTATATGTGAAGCATTTCAAAGGAGTTTATGGTGTCACTGCATTAAATCTATTTGACATGAAAATCTAAACACTAAAAACAGGACAGCGTTATTTGTCTGGGTACTGGAATGCTGTATATGGGCTATGTTGGGCTACATGATTCCCTTATTCCTAGATTGTCTGTGAAGGGGCGAAAGGGCGAGGCAGGAAAGGAATAAGCCAATACATGTTAAAATTATGATATTTTGCTGAATGTTAAAATTACATAATGTATTATAGTTGCCCCCAGATGTTAAAAAGTCAGTTTTTCAAATCTAGTTACAGCTAACATATACAACAGAACCAAGCTTAATGAATAAAATTTAAAAGTTATAATTTTAAAAGCTGTAGTGTCAGAGAAAAGATTGTAAGCACACACAAATGCTCAGCCAGAAGGCCAACATTCAGTTTAAGATATAAAAGAGAAGTTGTAAGACTCTTTCACCTACCTTGAGCAATTGCAGCAAGTTTTCCCTTTTCTTCAGGGCTGAGCTGCAACATTGTATCAATCACAGGAAGAAGCCTCTCTCTTTCACTACCTGGTTTCAGGAAGATGAACTGTAGCAAGACATTCTTCAAGTATTCCAGGCTAGCTACAGACTTTTCTCGCTCTTGATTTCTTTCCAGTCTTCTTATTTCATTTTTGAGAAGCTGGTGTTAGGAGAAATCAATTAAAAATAGGTTTTAAGAGCTTATGGTTAAATATGGCCAGCTGAACACATGCCTTTTCCCTCTCTTTCTCCTGAAACTGCTGTCTCCCCATGCAAATAATAAAGAAGCTGGGAAGCAGATGAAGAAGTGGAAATGACTCAATCCAGCACCTTACCAAGTACCACTGACAAGTGAAAAGGATGCATGCTATGTAAATGCCAATTAGTTCCTGACTCAGAAGCTAAGGGCAGGGTGGAAATTGGGGTTGAAAGGTCTGGGACTGATGGAAGTTTACATAAGAAGCAACTGGGGCTATAGGTTGGTACCATGGTGCTCCCTCTGCCTTCTACTCTCTATAGAAACTCAGCCAGTGGGGTTCAGGGTCTCTGGGATAACAAGACACTGTGAGGAGCAGGAATGAATCTGACAATGGCTGAAGTGAACATCTGCAGCCTCCACTAGCCCCTACACCCAGAGCCCAGGCAGTTAAGATGTCCACAATGAACAGCACTTATGCAAAACAAAAAGTGAGTTCAGAATACAGTTAAAACTGAGAAATGTAAGACAATATACAATACTATCAGAAAAATGGGGCAAAGGATGACATGAAAAAGGTAATAGCACATTAAAGTCTTTGAGGAAGATTTCTGAGTCTAAACAGAGCTGTAGCTTTTGGTTTATTTTCATTATTTCAGGTCAACCCAAGAGTTAGCCAACTTTGTCCTAAAACCTAGGGTTATTTAAAAAATGTCAATTAAAAAAAAGACTAAGAAGTTATGTAAGAGACTATGTATTTGTGGAAATATAACACTTAAATAAGTCACTTAGGTTCACTGGACTACTTAGTGATTTGTTAAATGTGACAATCTTTTGACTAGTGGGAAATGTTATTTTACAGGATGCATGCTCAAGTGGTGGGATGTCATGATATACACAAGTTACTCTGAATAACTGAATAATTCAGCAGGAGAAATATCAGTGAGCCACAGTGAAAATGTCTCACTTGACTAATGCTCAACTGCTTCACAATATTCCTAGATGCTGCTGGTGTCTGTCCACTTTGCCGTCTCTACCTATGAACAGTGTTAAATGATTCAGTGGCATAAACATCAGATGAATGGTTTGAATTAGTAATGCTCCACTGTTTATCTTAAGAACTGAAGGACCCATTTAAGTTCTATTTAAGTGTGTACTGAATGATGATTTGTGAACATCTCTCTAATTTCTAAATCTATTATGGTTTCTTAGAAAAAGTGAGAGTTAAATAGTCTTTACATAATGGACATAAAAGCAATTATTTCTTTTCTTTTTTTTTGAAATAAATAAAAAACTTTATTATTCAGTGAAGGCAAAGAAATTAAACTTACAGTAAAGAATTTAGGTAAAACAGATAAAGAAACCTGTTTTACTTTTATCAAAGTAGTAAAAAGTATTACAGTTTAGGGTGTAACTGATAACTCAGTGTTGAAATTAAATCTCATGACCACAAAATATTTGCAGTGACACACAGTACATTCATCTAGCTGGCTGGGTTTCACTGTTGCAACAAAACCCTTCTCATAATCAACAAATGTGTGGCTTTGTCCCATGTCTTTATGAAATGAGTTATATCTCATGTCTTTGCTGAATTAGTTGGTTCTGAAGACACAGATATTCTCAGCACTGGGAGTGGGAGTCAATCTGATCGCAGAAAAGATTTCAGAGCAAATCTCAGCAAAAGAGATTTTGAATAAAAAATGCAAGAGAATATCAAGCACTTCTCTTCCATTTTGTCCCACTTCTTTGGAAGCTAAAAGTGTCCTAAGTTTTAGGGTGTCTGCTTTTTTAGAATAGGTGACCAGTGATGAAAAACCCTGAAAATGTCTTTGTACCCACTGTGGTCTTTGACCTATTTACTGCCCAAATCTGAACTCTCCCTTTCCTGCTCTGTCTCATAAAAGGCTGTGAACAACGAATGAGCATGAGTGTTCGAGGACCATTTATACATGAGTGGAAGAATTGAATCCTGGAGTGTTACAGGTGGAAGTAGCTTTTATAGGCTGTTTAATCTGCTCCATTTTTTTTTTTTACAATTGAGGAAACCAAGGTTCAGACACATGAAGTGACTTGCTTCTGAGGTCTTCCAGCCAGTGAATTACGGAGTCAAAGAACTAACCCTATCTTTGTATTTTTTTTTTTTTTTTAGATGAGCCCATTGGTAACATTGTTGCCTTGAATAGTGGAAACAGCATAAGAGAACTTTACAGTAGCAAATACTGGTATTTCAGAACAGCTCTGTATTTTACTGAGTTTTCATGTGTCACTATCCTGCTGAGTAACTTGAAGGCATTTTTTAAATGACAGGAGCTCAACAATATTGTATTCAATTTTAACACTGAGAGTCAAGATTTGAGGGGAGGTTTAGAATAAATGTCAACATAGGCTGCAATGTGCAATATGGGGAGGAAAATCAGAGTGGAGGCTGGCTGTGGGCAGCACTAGCTATGCAGCGTGCAGCTGACAAAGGAGGCTCCCTGTTCTCTCAAAGTCTTCTAGGCAACTTTACCTGTTATCTAGATTTCTTGCTCTGGCCTCTCCCCCAAGGTCAGATATATATATATATATAAAATTTTTTTTTTTTTGGTCGCTTTTGGTCAGGGCTGGGTATGAACCAAAGCAATTATTTCTCACTGCCAGGAATCTAATATAAAGAATCAAGATGTTATAGATGCATTGGAAATGTGAATTTTTAAACTTTAGTGCATATGTATGGAGGGTCAAGGAAACCAACTGGGGGCTCAGTGCCCGTACTCAGTGGTTTGGGTGCCAGCCACATATACCGAGGCAGGCGGGTTGGAACCCAGCTCAGGGCTGTGAGACAACAGTGACAACTGCAGCAAAAATATAGCCAAGTGCTGTGGTGGGCGCCTATAATCTCATCTACTTGGGAAGCTGAGGTGAGAGAATCTCTTAAGTCCAAGAGTTTAAGGTTACTGTGAACTGCAATGCCACAGCATTCAGTACTGAGGGCAACATAGTGAGACTCTGTCTTAAAAAAAAAAAAAAAAGAAAACCAACTGGGGCTGGGTACAGTGGCTCACACCCATAACCTTAGTGTTCTGGAAGGCTGAGGTGGGGGACTGCTAGAGCTCAGGAGTTTGAGACCAGCCTGAGCAAGAGTGAGACCCCATCTCTATTAAAAATAGAAAAACTAGTTGGGTGTTGTGGCAGGTGCTTGTATTCCCAGCTACTTGGGAGGCTAAGGCAAAAGGATTGCTTGAGGCCAGGAGTCTGATATTGCTGTGAGCTAGGCCGATGCCATGGCACTCTACTCAGAGTGACAGAGTGAGACTCTGCCTAAAAAAAGAAAAAAGAAAAGAAAAGAAAACCAATTGGTAGTCTCTAAGGTGATCAGAGTTTTTGGCCTCACCTTAATTTGTTCCATAAGGATTGCATTGGTCGCTTCCGTTTCCCTCAGCAGGCTGTTTACGTGATCTGCACTTTTTGTGGTGGAACTGAGCTTTTGAACCAATTCTTCTTTGGTAAATTCAGCATGCCATAAAGGAGGCTCTGAAAGATGTTGTTCCAAGAAGTAATTTTCAAAGTCAGAGATTAAAGATAAAGATTCTAAATAAGAAATACATCTAAATACAAATATCTTACTCTATAATATTACATAGGTTTCATCAAAACTCTTTGCAATTCATCTATTCAACATGCCGCAAAGGGTTACGTGTTGAATGCGATTCAAATGAGACAATATCTGGGTCAGGCATTGTGGCTCATGCCTGGAATCCTAGCACTCTAGGAGGCTGAGGTGGGAGAGTCACTTGAGCAAAGGAGTTCGAGACCAGCCTAAGCAAGAGTGAGCCCCCATCCTATAAAAAATACAACAATTAGCTGGGTGTTGTGAAAGACACCTGTAGTCCCAGCTACTCTGGAGTCTGAGGCAAGAGGGTTGCTTGAACTCAGGAGTTTGCTTGAAGTTGCTGTGAGCTAGGCTAAAGCCATGGCACTCTAGCCTGGGCAACAGAGTCAGACTCTGTCTCAAAAAACAAAACAAAACAAAAGAAAAAAACAGACAGTATTATCTCTGTTGTAAGGCACATACTCTAACCAAATGCAAGCCCCATTTCTGACATACATCACAACTCCATTTTTATACTATTTCGTTGGATTCATTTTATACATCCTCTTCCCATCTGTTAATATTCTAAGAACTTATGTCATTTCACTTGTATGTGAGGGAAGTATTAACATTTACTGGTCACATGTCATGGACCCTCTTAAGAATCTTTTATCTGGTGGGTATCATTATTCAAAATTTATAGATGAAGGAACAGATTGAGTGGTCACAAAATTTTGGCAAAAATCACAAAGCCAAGTCTGATTCTGGATTCTACCACCACTCTACCATGATGCCTCTTTGTCACCACCATTAACTTTGCCTGAAGGAGCCACAGCTTGCAGTCTCCACCCCACATGGGCAGTGATCATGAATACAGATGGCCTTTATTCCAGGTAATCCTGAAACTTCATGAAGCTATCAGGTAGATTCTCTCTGAATCATGACCAGTAATAGTCATTACAGGTAACAATAAAGAATGCCAAAACTTTACCATATTTATAAGGGCAAATTTAGCATTACTTCATCAAGAGGAGTAAGTAGATATAGCCAGTTCTTGATAGGGTGAGAGAATAGTTTATCCTATGCTCTGTACCACCACAGATCTTCCAACCACCTATTTCTCATTCAAGACTAGGGAGAGCTAACATTTTATTTCAAAAATGATTTGTTTTCACAATCTTTCTATTTCAAAAGGTGATAGGATAGTGAAACAATTTTACTGGAGTGGCTAATAAAAGCATATTTAACTTGGAAATTTCTCTCAATTAAGAAAATAAAGTTAAATAAGAAAAACGTTTTGTGTTTTGTGAGAAAGCCTTGTAAAAAGAAACAACAAAGGCAAAGTAACATACCAAACTTAGTCTCCGAAGAGTTAAGCAGCTGCTCTAAAGACTGCGTGTGTGTGCTGGAGGAAGACACAGACTCAGTGTCAGTTGTCTCCATCCCTTCCCCCTCCTCCCGGGTCACAGTGTGCATGTCAAGAAGAGGGAGGTCTGCATTTCTTCTGTCTCGAAGGTTCTTCATAGGTTGGTGGGAAGAAGCTGGGCCTGTTAAATTTTTTTTTTAATGGGTAAGTGTGAGATAGTTCAAAACTGATGGATTCCTCCTTAACAGAGATACACAGTAAAATTAAAACGTCAAATGACAGCGTAGGGAAAATAATCAGAAGACCATTAATGAATCATATATAAAGAAAGAATTGCTAAAACAGCTCTTATAATTAGTCATTGAACTTTTAACCACATTAGTCATTTCAGTAGAAGCTATAAATTGCTATTAGCTATCTAAGATAAACTGCTAAAGAAACACAAAGCTCGTGAGAGCACTACTTATTTTTATTAATATAGGGTAGTGGGCCACCCTACTACTAAACACTGGTAGAAATGAAAAAGTAGATTTTAGATATTTTTGTGGATTTAGTACTTCAGATTGCTGCATACAATCAGATACAGCACGCTTGCTAAATAAAGTCTGCTTGCACACGTTCTCATCATTGACCTTACACCCTCATCTCTGCTGGTTCCTAAGGTTGCCACTCACACCTAGCACTGAGACACAAAATCCAATGTGGGGGAACTAATCAATTACATTGCCTGGAGAAGGCTTTCCTCTACACTCATAATGAACACTTGCATAGAACTGTAAAGCTTTTAAGATACTTTCAAATACATTAGTTTATTGACTCCAAGCAATCTGAAATTCAGAGACATATAATGACTTTACCCAAAGTCATGAGCTGAGTTAGATACCAGAATTCCAACCATATTTTTTAACTTCAAATTTCATTTACTTTTTATTCCATAAAGTTGCCTCCTCTGCTCTTTCAAATCTTATTAGCCTTAGCTGCCCTTTCTGGAGCATTTTGCTGGGTTTCTGATAATTTCCTAATTGCTTATTCTACTGTTGATTCCTAGATTACAATTTTGTGTATAACCTGTTTGTCCTTGGCTGATTAATTACTTTATTGATTCTCAGTATATGTTAAATTTTTCTGAAGTTGGTTTCTGACCCAACAAGTGACCTGTAGCTGTCAATGCTCTAGTGACAATATTTTTCATATGAAACAAAACACTATCAACTTACAACTAAAATACATCACTGTCATGGCTGACACTGTCTCATCTTTTCTTGGAAGTAGAATGGAAGATATTGGATGTAGTTGAACTAAATTTCAACTAGTTAGACATTTGGAAGAGAAGAAGCTGAAGCTGTGTCTACAAGTTTAGTATTGCTTGAGTGCTTCTAAAGTCCTTTGCTCAATCTTTATTGTTTCCAATTTAAAAAATAGATACATTTGATGATTAACAATGGAGAACACCAAACAGGTGTAGTGAATACTAGAATTTGGACATATGTGATGAAAATGACAGAGTATGTTTAAGTTAGAGAAAAAGAAATACTCCTTTCCATGAAAGGTAATAAATGAAAATCAGTATTCTCAGAGGTTACACATGTATAGGCTTCTCTAAGCATAATAAAGAAGGGTTGAAATGGTTCAAATATCTTCCTAGTAAGCAAATCCAAAATTCATTATCACAGAACTGACATTGGCTGTCACCTAGTAAATTTTCTCCTTTCTTAAGTATTTGTGCAGAATGGATTCAAGTGACATAAATACACGAAAACACATACTTCCTTGGGTACATACATACTTCTTGTGGGAGGTTCATTCTTCAGCTGGAAGAGCTGTGCCTCCACCTTGGAGAGCTGCTGCTGTAAAGTCTCCACCGTCTTTCTGTGCTCTTCCTGCAGATGCCGCACTTGATCTCGGAAGCTGTTCTGAAGGACCTCGTTCTGTGACGTTAGTTGACTCACAGTCTGTGCATGTTCAGACTTCAACGTCATGTTCTCTGACTGTATTGAACACAACCTGAAAGATGAGAGGAACTGAGTTCACATAAGATCTTTCAGCTTTACGTGTTGACTAGGCTTTCTCAATTGGGTTCTGCAAGAGAATGAGAAGGCATCTACTGAATGTATGAATCATTTCTCTCTTAAGTATCTATAATGTACTAGCTGTGTAACAACTTAGGGAGAACTGATACCAGTTATCATTTGGTTCAAATCATTTTCTGTGTCCCACATTTCAGATGAAGAACTTCAGTTGAGAAACTATTGTGTTTTTCAGACTTTGTGGTTCATCAGAAAATAGGACTATATTTATAGTATAAATTAATTTTACTCTGAAAATATGAAAAAAATCATTTTATTTCGATTCAAAAAAATACTTTAAAGGAAAATACGCATTTTTAACTGAACATGAAACAAATAGGTATACTTGGTTTTCAGGAGTTGGAGGTTGCTGTAAGCTGTGACACCACAGCATTCTACTGAGGGCAGTAAAGTGAAACTCTGTCTCTAAAAAAAACAAAAAACAAGAGTGGTACCTGTGGCTTAAAGGAGTAGAGTGCTGGCCCCATATGCCAGAGGTGGCGGGTTCAAACCCAGCCCCAGCCAAAAACTGCAGAAAAAACCAAACAGAAACCAAAAACCAAAACCAAATTCTGTATATCAGAATTGCTGGAGTACCTTGTTGAAAACACACACATCTTGTTTTGATGCTATACCCAATGAACCAGAACCTCCAGTGTGGTCCTAGAACTTACTGCCAGCAGTTTTCAATGTGATTTTTATGTAGTCAGCCTGAAATTAGCCAGTGGATCTACTATTGAGGGACCACTAATTTTTTTTTTTTTTTGAGACAGAGTCTCACTTTATTGTCCTTGGTAGAGTGCTGCTGCGTCACAGCTCACTGCAACCTTAAACTCCTGGGCTTAGGCGATTCTCTTGTCTTGGCCTCCCAAGTAGCTAGGACCACAAGCACCTGCCACAACATCCGGCTATTTTTTGTTGCAGTTGGGCCGGGGCCGGGCTTGAACCTGCCACCCTCAGTATATGGGGCCGGTGCCCTACTCACTGAGCCACAGGCACCACCCGAGGGACCACTACTTTTATTGGCTTACTTATAGTTTTCATTTTTTAAATGTTTGGTGTAGATCCCTCCCTTTTACATAAGGGATCCACATCTACTCCCTCATAAAAACCCAAACAATTCAGAAGTAGAGAAAAATGTGAAAGCCTTTCTTTACTCACTTTCATCCCCAGTCCAGGGGTAAACATTGTTAACAGTATAGTGTGTGCCTTTCCAAGTTATTTTTTCCTACCTACTACACATAAGCACGTCACATAAGGTTTATAACAGGATTTAGCAGCTGAAGGAAGAAATGAATAAAAATACCATATATTTTAGAAAAGATATTCTAATTGCCAAGTTCATATTGATTAACGAGTCTAGAGAACTCATAAGCATTTTGTTCAAACAATATCTACAAAGAAAGTAAACAAGGGATCATTGGCAGTCACAAAAGTTTTCTAAGGGAGAAAAAGTTACATTTTAGAGGTAAAGTTTGTAGTTTTCAGGCAGTAGCAATGACATTTCTGAATTCACCTACTTGAGAACTAGATGCTTGAAAATGCCATATGAAATCAGAACGGCTATGCTGATGGCTTAATTAGCATATTCTCCTGGAGTTATTTTTACAATCTCATACAGAAAAAGCATAAATGTTAAAACACTTAAAAAAGCAGAGACTATAAGTGAAAAGTCTAAGGGCATAGACACTAATAATACTATTAGTTTTTAATATTTTCAAAGAAGAAAAAAGACTCCTAAAGATAGCTCAAAATGCTGTGAAAAGTTTCCAGTATTTAGTGGAGGGACTGACAATTATGTGTCCAAAGTATATTTATTGAATGATGGAATTGCTTTAAAGGCATCAATTGTACTTTGTGTTAGAAATGTAATTTGCAGTAATGTTTCTAGCATGAAAAATAAATTTCTGTTGGAAATTTCTTATGTAAGTATCACATGAGCATCATTATGTATAAATTAATGTCATGGAAAACCCTGGTAATAGTTAGAAAATTGGTAGAGCTTCCCTGAAGTTCTGGTTTACATAATTAACATGTAAATTACACTGTTAACAAATAGCATAAGCTTGGGCGGCGCCGGTGGCTCAGTCAGTAGGGCACTGTCCCCATATACTGAGGGTGGCAGGTTCGAACGCAGCCTGGGTCAAACTGAACAAAAAATAGCCAGGCATTGTGGCAGGCGCCTGTAGTCCCAGCTACTCGGGAGGCTGAGGCAAAAGAATTGCCTAAGCCCAGGAGTTGGAGGTTGCTGTAAGCTGTGACACCACAGCATTCTACTGACGGCAGTAAAGTGAAACTCTGTCTCTAAAAAAAACAAAAAACAAGAGTGGTACCTGTGGCTTAAAGGAGTAGAGTGCTGGCCCCATATGCCAGAGGTGGCGGGTTCAAACCCAGCCCCAGCCAAAAACTGCAGAAAAAACCAAACAGAAACCAAAAACCAAAACCAAAACCAAAAAACAAAATAAAAAAACCCAGATAGCATAAGCAAAGAAAACCCAAATGCTGCCCTTTTCAGATTAGCATCAGATTAGGTATATTATTATAAGCATATCTGTGATGTGAAAAGTTTTTTTTAATACCTGTGATGAAAAATGCTCAATGAAGAATTCTTTTCTTCAGTCTAAGAATACTACTACCCACTTTCTTTATCATAGGAGTTCAAAGATTATTGTTTACAATAATCTATTTATTCTGCTAATTCTCCTAATGTCTATTTTTGGTATTATAGTGATTAACAAAATATGACAAATTAAAGATAGAGTTGCAAAGATAAGTTTTGTATTCTTTTTTAGTCAGCAGATAACTGAATGCTTTCCTAGAGAAAAAAAGGTACTTATAATAATATGTCACCTGGGTTGTAAGGTAGCAAGATTTTTTTTGTTGTTGTTTTGTTTTTTTAAAAGAAACATCCTGGCATGAAGGCAATGGAAGAGGCAGAGTATTGGATGAGCAGATAAACATTGTTTTTAAAAATGCAAATTACAAAAGCAATTCAAAGGGGAAGCTTTAAGGTACAGATAGTAAAGTTACCAAGCCTGCAGAAGTTTCTATTTCTTATTTCAAATCTGTATTTATTCCAAGGAGCAACACATTAATAGTTCCAACTAAGAAATACTTTGCTGCCTGCTATAGTTAGTGCTGCTGGCAATCTTACTTTTCCCGGAGTTCCGCCTCTTTGGACACAGTTTCCTGTAGCATCTTGTTGTGCCTTTCTAGCAGAGTATCATGTTCAGACTGTAATGTTTGAAGTTCAGATACATTAATCTGTAAGTTATTTTGGCTATCTTGTAATTTGATTTTTAGTTGGTCAATCAGCATTTCCAGATGTTCCCTAAAACAGAAATAAACACTTTGAAAATTTTTTGAAAGACATTAACCTGATTTTGCAGTTTCAAATATATTTTAAACATTTAATATTTCAATTTTATATTCTTGTTATCATTATGGATAAATCTCAAGGAACTTTACTAACCAGAAGAATTCAGAAGCTAGGATTAAATATAAGAGATGTTATAGCCAGATTTTAAACCTCTGGTACCACAGATCTATAAAAAATCTCTTTAAGTTAAAAAATTTCCTATTCAGATGGAGTAGACTATTAAGTGGCATTGAAATAGCCTATTTTATGTTATAGGACTATGCCATTAGCTTATAAAAAAATCATATACTTCTAAGTTAACTGTTATGAGAATGGTATGTCAGACCAAGTTATAGTGAAAGATAATCCCTGAAAAAAAGCAGGAAGTCTTTTTGGACCTAGAATAAAAACGAAGTGGAAACAGTTAAAATCCATAAATCTGCCACAATTAGTATAATACACTATCAGCTTCTTTTTAAAAAGATGTATTTAATTTATAAGAAAGTAGAAGGAACATAAAGACATTTACATTCAAATAATTCAAACCCCAAATTTAGGCATGATCAAAAATGGCTCTTGCAAATGGTAACAGTTTATTCAATGTATCGACATTTAATTTTAGCTTTATAATGAGCTATTGGAGAAAAAATAATCTCTTAATATTTCAGTTTATAACAGATTCCTTAACAAAAAGTAGTAGAAACATATGAACACTTAAACGGTGAGTTAAGTATATTAAAGAAGTATTTTTTTCTTTTACTTCTAAATTTTCAAAATTGGGAAAACTAGTCATGTAATTTTAATGCCTGTGTTTCTACTATGACAAGATCCTGCTAAGACAAGATTGACCTTTAAGCCTGTATCTCAGAGAGCACCAAATCCTGGCTTACTGTTCACTTTAACATCTTTTAGCGTCCTTTAGAGTTTGCAGCCGTACTTTTTATAGTGTTCTCTGCTACTGCCTGGAGACATGGTGAAAACAAGAAAGTCTGTTCTCATTGCTAATTATATGTCAAATTCCACGGTTAAAAGAAATCAAAATAGGATATTCAGTCTACTTGGTGGAGAATCTGCACTGCAGGGAGAAAACTCTGCATGTTTTCTTTTTTTTTTTTAATTTAGATTTTTACCTTTCTTGTTTGGCTCCTTCAGTTTCAGCCTGAGACACAGATTTCTTTCTCTGTTGTTTTAGAACATTATGAACTCGGACTTTGTAGCATTCAAATTCAGAGGTTATAGCAGCTTTTTCTGCCTATAACAATTAAAACAGAGAAAAAATTGTCTATTAATACAATTCTCCTGTTTTCTCTAAGAGTATATTAATAGATTGCAATGAAAACATGTTTTTGAAAATGAGGAAAATGGCTACATTCTTTTTAGTCCCCTAATTAATTTTGCTGAAAAGTATAATTCTGTTGGCCTTGCACTTAAAAAAAATTTTTTCTTGACATATAATTGAACATATTTACTGGGTACATGTGATATTCTGATTCGTGCACAACATAGGTAATGGACAATCAGGGTAATCAGAATAGATATCACCTTGAACATTTATCATTTATGTCAGGAGGTCTTTCACTTTTTAAAAACCTTTCAATCATGTAATTTTTTTCTGAAAAGTGATATTTTTATCATGTTTTCTACCCTGATATAAATTTACTACCCATAAATTTTATAATGGCATTACGTGCTTTTGGAAATTTATAAAGATTTTAACTTATGATAACCCCCTCTTTTTATAAAGAAGAAAAAAATTAATTCAAAGAGATTAAGTTACTTGAACTTTGGTTTTCAAAATAGGATGGTAAAAGTAAAGTTCTAGGTTTGCCTGAGTGATCTGTAGATTCCAATGACACTTTTGACAAGATTGCTCTTTAGACAGTGCCTCCCTGTTCTGCAGGCCTCTAGCCATGCTATTATGATATCATTTTATAATCACTTCGCCCTCAGAAAAAACTATAACACTTTTCTGATTAAAAAAATAGGTTTTACAAATAAGTGACTTTCTTACACAAATAATAAGGTTGAAATGGAAACATGTGCTCATGGTTTTCATTTTAGCAAAAAAGCGATCCAAGTGATGGTTTGGGTCAGCATGGGGTTAGAGTCAGATGAGCCGAACCAGGCTTTCACCTATGAGTAAGTACTCTTAACTACAAACCACTAAAAGTGGAGAATAAAAGGCCAGCAGGAAAATTCCCAAAGCTGCTGGTGAAGAATGTACCTTGGCAGCACAGCTCTCCTCCTGCAGCATTGTCACTCTCTGCTGGTAGGCGCTCAGTGTGCGCTGGTGCTGTTCTGCAGAGGTCTTCAGGTGCTCATGGATTTTGTGTTTCTCAGATGTAATTTCAGCCAGCTGAATCTGGGGGCAAATTAAATTTAGGTTGAGCAAATCAGTGAATACAGGTTAAAGAGATTTTCCTTAAAACTCAAACTTGAGGTTTGAAACATAAGTGTATGTAAGGGACATAATTAAATAGTGGAATTTTTTAATGTGTTATTATTGAAAGAGTAGAGACAGTATGACTAGAACATTTTCTCACTAAAACAAGTTAATTTACCTTTTTGTAAACCAACATCCAAAAAAAAATCATGAAGAATATTTTAGGTTACGTATTTAACATTTAAATAATTCAAGATATTATATGTAAAATATACTTACAGCAAATTTAGAAAATCATTTTATAAACTTCTTATGACTGTAATATCACTAAGTTCTGATGCATATTTATTTTTTATAGCATATTACAGATTTTCAAATAAATGAATATAATCTAGCTTGAGGTAAATGGTAGATTTCAGTTATATGCCACACTTGATTTATTCTACTTCCTCAACAGGTTGAGGAATTTTCTAAATATCCTTAGAAGATAAATATTCATGGGATAATTAGAAAAATCCCTAAATGGTACCTTACTTCTAAACGGAAAATTTCTTTAAATCTTAAAAAGTAAAAAGAAACTTACCTTATAGAGTTCTACTTGTTGTTGGCTTGCCTCCAGCTCACCCTTTAAAGATGCTTGAAGTATTAAGTGATCAGTTTCCTACAGAATGAGAGTCTTGGTTAAGTTAAAAAAAAAGTTATTCATAAATAAACTATGAAATAAGTACTAAAATGTGAAACTGGGAAATTAACATACTGCTTGCTTTGAATCTGCCAGTTCTTTTTTGGTTTTCACAAGCAACTGCTTGATTTTGGTGTTTTTTTCTTCATATTGTTGTACTGAAGACTGTAGTGAAGCTAGCGTAAGAAATAATTTCAGAAGAAAGAGATGAAACAATTTTTATGAGTGAATTTAACTATATGAATGATGATTCTGTGTCAATTTACTTTTAAGGAAAACTTTCAGCTTTTTGTTATGAAGTATTTCAAACATATATGACAGCATTGATACTAGCACAACAAACTCTACAATACCTGTCCCCTAACTTTAACAATTACCAACACACAGGCAATCTTACCTGACCTAGACCAGGAATCACCACAGTATTTAAGAAATGTTTAAGTGAATGAATGTGAACTGTAAACATCTTAATGGCAAATGGTTCGCATCCCTTCTGGACCTTAACATTTAGCATTGTGTTAAACATCTGATTGGCAAAGACTGGTGAAATAAATACTACCCTGTTATGATGAAATAAACATAAGGTCAAGCGAATTTTATTTAACTTACTTATTTCTTCTTGTAAGGTTTCTTGTTTCTGTTTTTGAATTTTTATTTCTTGCTCCAAGTCTTCTATCTTGCTGTTTTTATTAGTTAACTTTTGATTTAGTTCTTTCATCAAACGTTCATAATCAGCTATTTCCATGTTCATCAATGTGGTTTGTTGGGCATCCTGCACATTTTATAAATAAAACATTTACACAATGCCATTTCATATAATTCCATTTATAAAACTGCTAAAATGATGCCACAGTATCTTAAGTGGTTTTTTTTTAGCCTAATCTTTGAAAAAGCAGAGAAAAATTGCCAAAGTTCTAAGTATTATATAAATTTCAACTTTGACAACAACGGACAGAAAACAAAATATCAAATCAAAATCCTGTAATTTGTGAGCCTACTTTCTTCTGAATAGACAGGTACTTACATAAACAAGTAAAATTTCTAATATTTTGAGGCTAACAATTTATAAAGAATTATTTTAATACCACAAATAACATTTAAAAATGTTTCTTTTCAATGTGTATAGAATAGTTTAACATGCAAATACTGATACCAGTTTTGATTCTGGGGGTTTTACTTTTACCTTTTTAACCAGCTCTAATTCTTGCATGGTTTTCTGAAGCTGTTTCTTTTCCTTCTGAAGTTGTACCTGAAGTTCTTCAAGTTCACTTACAGTACTAGCATGTTCCTAAAATTAAAAATAAAAATCAATTTCCACAACTCAATCCACATTAAAAAGGTTGTATTTGTAAGGGCCTATAAAATCGAACACACTAAAATACAAACATTTTGGTAGTATTTCTATATTTAAGATAAATATACACCAAAACCATAGCTTGGCATATGTAAAGAGTTAATGAACTCTTTACTCATAAATGTTGCTTCTTAGTATTTCCTTCATTTAAATAGTATTTTGATAAACACATCACTATATAGTAGTGATAGTAGTGATCACATCTCATATAGTGATCCCACACAGGATCCTTTTTACCTTTATCTTCTGTTCTTTCTGAAGTTTTTCAGCTTCCAATTCTTTGTCTACCATTGCTTTGGCTCTCTGGACTTCTAAAATCTGTACTTCTAATAACTTGGCATTAGACTGTAATGTCTCAATACGAGCCAGGAGATCTTCATTATCAGAATTCAATTTTTCACACTGGAATGACAAATGATTCATTACTGTAAACATTCATTACTGTAAATACAGGAGAAAAAAACTAAAAAGATACATTAATGATAATTTGGCATAGTACGTACAGCAAGGATTTAAAAATCAGTTCCACAGAATGTTAAATTAAAAATGAGTTTAAAAAACTATCACTGTGATATTGATATGGCAAACCTTGTAAGAGACTAGATGCACCAGCAAAGAGTATAAACGAAAAAGCAAGCGAAAAACCCAGGGGAAGTGAGATTAGAGTAATAAGACAGGATAGTTGCTAGTTATTTTGTTATATTCTTTTCTCAACAGGTGACTGGGGGAGGAGGAAGAAATTCTGTTTGTGGCTATTTATTAATCTTTTATGGAAAAAGTACTGATATTACAATGTACTTATTATAATTTTCTTTTATTTTCTTTCTTTTTTTGAGACAGGTCTCACCCTGTTGCCTGTGCTAGAGTGATGTGGCATTATTGCTCACAGTAACCTCAAACCCTTGGGCTCCAGCGATCCTCTTGCCTTAGTCTCCTGAGTAGCTGGGACTACAGGTACACACCACAATGCCCAGCTAGTTTTTTTCTGGTCTCACTCTTGCTCAAGTTTGTCTCAAATTCTTGAGCTCTGGCGATCCCACCTCCCTCGGCCTCCTAGAGTACTAGGATTACAGGCATGAGCCACCGTACCCGGCCTAAAATATACTTATCACAATTTTCTTTTCTTTTTTTTTTTTTTTTCCAGTTTTTGGCTGGGGCTGGGTTTGAACCCATCCCCTCCGGCATATGGGGC